GCTAATACCTTCATCAAGAAATAGCTAGAGGTCTTGTCTAACTTACAGAGAAACTGAGTCCCAGAGATTATCAGTGACTTTCCCAAGGTCATACTGTTGTTTCCTAGTGGAACAGTGCCTAAGGCTTGATATCTGACATTTCTATAGCACTTAAAAGTTTCCCCAAAAAAATCATTTTGAAATATACCACTTCATTTGATCCTCACTACAGTCCTATGAAATACATACTATGGGTAGGACCAGAGATTTAGGAAGCATCTGCTTTCCTTCCTTGACTCAGTTCTCTCCCTATTCTAGTCCATCCTGCACTAAGTTGTCAAACTGATCTTCCTGAAGTGCAAGTCTGACCATGTCACTCCACCCTATTCAATAACCTGCAGTGGCTCCCTATCACCCCCAGTATCAAATATGAAATCCTCTGTTTGCTATTTAAAGCCCTTCATAACCTGGCCCCCTCCTCCCTTCTTACACCTTACTCTCCTTCACATCCACTACAACACAGCTTCACTGGTCCCCTTACTGCTCCTAACACAAGACACTCCATCTCCCAACTCCAGGCATTTTCATTTGGCTGCCCCTAAGCCTGGAATTCTCTCCCTTCTCATCTCTGTATTTCCTGGCTTCCTTCAAGTCTCAACTGGAATCCCACCTCCTATAAGAAGTCTTTTCTAGTCCCCCATTAATGCCTTCCCCTGCCCCCCCATATTATCTGCAATTTATCCTTCTACATCTTGTTTGCCAGGTGGTGCAATGGATAGAGTGCCAGACTTGGAGTTAGGAAGACCTGAGTTCGAATCGACTTCAGAAACTTACTAGCTATGAGACCCTGGGCAAGTCACTTGACCCCATTTGCCTCAGTTTCCTCATCTGTAAAATGAGCTGGAAAAGGAAATGGCAAACCAGTCCAGTATCTTTGCTAAGAACACACTAAATAAATGGGGTCTCGAAGATTTGGACAAGACTGAACAACATCTTGTTTGTACCCAGTTGTTTCGTTTCCATGTTATCTCCCTCCCTCAGACTGTGAGCTCCTTGATTGTCTGGGCTGTGTCTGGCCTTTCTTTGTATCAGCAGTGCCAGGCACTTAGTAGGCACTTAAATATTTGTTGATTGGACCTGACCTAAACAAAGCCCCTTCATTTTTACAGATGAAATAAATGAGATAAAGAAGTAAAGTCACTTGTCCAAGGTCATACAAGTTGTAACTAGAAGAGCCAGGATTTTAATTCAGGCTTACTCCAAATACTTTCCACTGTGTCTCAGTACCACTTAAAAGTATCATCACCCCCATTTTCCAGAAAAAGAAACTGAGGCTAAGAAAGATGAAGTGCCCCAAAACAATACAATTTGTAAGTATCAGTGGTGAGATTTGAATCCAGGTCTTCCAGACTCCAGCACTTTACTCAACATTTCTCTTAGTCTTCTGCCTCTAAGCTCCGGGGCTCTTTAAACAATGAATATTGTGGCCTCCCACTCAGGACCAGAAAATCTTAGCACCCTCCCAACTGAGACAACACCTAGGGTAAATTGCTTCCCCTCCATAAAATAAAGTAGTTGGGCTCAAGGATCTTTAAGATCATCTGTGACCGCCCATAATTCTAAGTGCCCTAGACTGGGGGAGGGTCAAGAAACCTAAATTTAAGTCCTATTCAGCTTTGCCACTCACCAATAGGGTGACCTCGGCCCAAGGTCACTGCCATTTTCTGAACCTTAGTTTTTCCATCTGTAAAATGAGGGTGTTGAATGAGAAGGCCCTTTCTAAGGGCAAATTTTATTCTCTTTGGGACCCATCATCCTATGGAGGAGGAAAAAGCCCAAGACTGATTAAGAATCAGAAGGCTTAAAGTGAAGTTCCTGACACTTACTGTGACTTTGCCCTCTCTGGGCCTCACTTTCCCCATCTGTAAAATGAAAGGGTTAAACTTAATGATCTCTAATTTCCCTCCACCTCGAAAATTTTATAAATCCACCACTCTGAGAGGCAGCATAGTGTTAGTAGGTAGGAACTGCCCTTGAAGCCAAAAAGACCTGGGTTCAGGTCCTGGATCTGACACATATTGACTGTGTGACCTTGGCCAAGTCACTCAGTTTCTCCATACTTGAGGCAACTCTCTCAAGGCTGTAAGTTTCAGAGAAGTTTTTCACTACCTGGGAGTTCTCTAGGATCTAAACCAACGAAATCACAGATCCAGCCCCTAATCCTATCCTGTGATTCTATGACTCATAGGTCAGACTGGAATATGACCCCCTCCCCCTCCATCTTCTACAGAACCCCTGCTACACACACACACACTCATACTCATTCTCTCTCTCTCTCTCTCTCTCTCTCTCTCTCTCTCTCTCTCTCTGTCTCTCTCTCTCTCTCTCTGTCAGGTTAGTCTCCCAAAAAGAATTAACCCTCCCTCTTTCCCTAGGGCTCACGGTCCCCTCTCCATTGGCCATTGCCAACAGGGATTAAAGCAATCAGATCAATTTCTTGGTTTCTTTTCAGAAAGAGAAGAGGAGGAGAAGTAGGGCTGGACAAGAGTGAAAGAAACAATTCGAATAATGACAGGCTGGAGGGAAAGAGGGTGACTTTCCCTCCCATCTCCGCCCAGGCACTACCAAAGCCTTGGGGCAGACAGGCCCACACGTGGGTGAGGGCCCTTACCTCACCTGCATGCTGGAACCCTAAACACCTCAGGCACATGAACAGGTGCAGAGAGTGGGGGTGGCCAAACCACTGGCCAGGACTGAGATCCTAATGGGGTCAACTAGTCTATCACCCAGCCTCAGGGCTTCTTTGCCCAGATTTGTCCATTCCATGACTATATCCAGGCCAGGACAGCCCACTGAGTGTGACCTTGGACAAGTCCTTTATCCTCTGGACAGCAGTTTGCTGCTTTGTAAAGGGGTTGGATTAGAGAATTTCTAAGGCCCTTTGAGCTCCAAATGCCCTAGCAACACCACTGTACCCAAAGACCTGCCATTCTGGGTGGTCAGTTCTCAGGATCTAGTCATAGTCCATCCTCTTGTGATTTCCTCCCCATTTCCCTTTGGATGAGTGGGGAGGTGACAACAAATAGGCTGGCATTGAACAGATGACTGGGGCAGACCCTGCACGGGAAGGGGGGGGGCAGGCTTGTACTGTTCAGTATATTTTGACACCAATCTCTCTTCCAGCCCTTGTCCCTCATTGCTGTAGCTGAATGTCTTCGGGCAGGCTTAGGCAGAACCAAGGCAGTGATCCAAACAGACCACAGCCAGGCCGGATACAATCACACAAGAAGCTTTTTCTCTCCTTTCCCTGCCCTCATCTTCCTGTCCCCCAAATCTCTTCCTTCTAATTCTCTCCACCCTCCTTCCCTCCCAGAGCTGATTAAAGGACACTCCAGTGGGTAAACACAGCACCCACCATTTCCTGAAGCATGGGCAGGCGGCTGCTGTGGGAAGGCTAGTGGTTAGATGCTCAGGGACAGGGAGCCCCTGGGGCCTAAAAAGGTCCCCGCCTCCTCCCAGGCTTGGAAGAAAAGCTGAGAGATGCACCCCACCACCACCACCACCACCACCTTTTCCTCCAGGTCTGGAAGCAAAAGAGTAGGAGGGGCAAGGGAGCTGAGGGAACAGGCCCAACTCAGGTGACACAGGCAGAAATGGGATAAGGATCTAATACCCTGGGTAGAGAATCAACCAAGCAGGGCCACCCAAGACCAGGGCAGGGTATAAAGACACTTCAGAGTTATAGGCAATACGTTGTTGTGGAAACAGTGCTGGACTTTGAGTTAGAAGCCATGAGTTCAAGTTCTGACACTGAAACACACTAGCTATGACCTTGGACAAGTTATTTAACCTCTGTGATCTCTTCCTCATCTCTAAAAGGGATTGTTCTTGAACCCCCTGTCTCACAGGGCTGTTATGAGGAAACCACCCGTTAACCTTAAAACTCCATAGAAATTGGAGCTGGTATTATTATCTCATGAGCCAGGAGAAGGCTGCCAAATAAAATCCCCAAAGCCAAATTCCCTTCCTACCCCCTCCCCCACAAAGAAGCATACCTACCTAGCCCTGCTGTGTATCCCCTGGGAAGTTCACTACCTCTCTGTTCATGCTTCCTTACCCCCAACTCAACAGCACTGAGGAAGATGAAAGTGAATTGTTACTGAAATAGGGAGGGGGGCCTCACCTGTGACACTAGTAACATTTCTATTGTTGTGGGTGAGTGAGTGGGTGATGAGTGAGACAGACAAAACTAGAAAGGAAAAAAAAACAGAGAAAGCAAGCAAAAAAGGCCCTCTTGAACCTTCTCTTCCCCACCACCCATAGTAAGAGGCACCCTGGACAGGGCCAAGTCAGGAAGCAGGAGAGATAGGTGTTCAGCTCCCCCTTTTAGAGGAGCCATCCAGGATCCATGACAAACTTGGTTGCCAATCCCTTACTGCCCTAGTTCGGGCAGGGCAGGGCAAAGCAGAACAGAGCCTGAACAAGTCTCTCTACCCTGGGGCTGCCCAGGGGAGCTGGGCCTCAGGCTCCTATGGCCCCCTGACTCAGCAAAGTGCCTACAGCTGCAGTTGACCCAGCAAAGCCCCCACAACCTGCTTGCTGTGCCCCAAGGGAGCAAAACAGAGGATCTGGCCCCTTGCATCCAGGGAAGTCTGGGGGAGGACAAGAGTTGCCCCCTCCCAGACCTTCCCACCAAAGTCAGACTACATAGCCTCTGCAAACCTGGAGATCCCCTGCCTAGTAGTGGGTGGGGTCGGATAGGGGGGACCGCCCCCCTTTGCTGAGGCAGTGCCCCGGAAGTCCTGAGAGGGGCTCCTTGGCTCTGCCCCACCTTTCCTACCAACCATTCTGAGTACAACCCCCGCTCCGCGGCCTGGGTCACCCTCGCCGCTCCCTGGGCACTGCCCGACGGCTCAGGAAATGGGGCGTCTCCCTATCACTTTACCCCCCCCCCGCCGCTGGCGGCCCAGCGCTGCCCAGCCCTGCCCAGCTCAGGTGAGCGGAGCGCCAGCCTGCCTTACCTCTGCCCTTGCCTCTGCCCTTCCTGGCCTTTTCCTCGGACTTTTTGCCCTTGGGGGGCGGCTCGGCGCCCTCCCCACCCGGCGGCCCCTTCTTCTTTCTCCGCTTGCCCCGAAGCCAGCTGAAGGCGCGGCGCAGACCGCCCCGGGACTTCTTCTTGCGGGGTACACCGGCCTGGCCCTGGCCCTGACCCTGGCCCTGGCAGCTCTGGTCCTCGGCCGCAGGTGCGGCGGAGGCAGCGCGGGCCGCCATGGGCCGCGTGCGGGGCGGGCGGGCAGCCTCAGGCCCCCGGGGGCGGCGCGGCACCCATGCGGGGCTGGACGCCGGGGTTCCCTCCCTGGGCAGCCGGCGCCGCCGCGCGAAGGGAGAACAAGGAGCCGAGGAAAAGTTTGAGCGGCTCCCTGGGGCCGAGCGGAGCGGGGCAGGAGGGGCCGGCGGGGCTGGGCTGGGCTGGGCTGGGCTAGGCTGGGGCGGAGAGAAGCACAGAGAGAAGGGAGAGGCGGGCCGGGAGGTGGGGAACAGGAGGGAGCGCACTGTCTCCCAACCCGCTCCCCGCTCCCCGCACCCCCCTCCTCTCTCCTCTGCCCGCCCGGCCCGGCCCGGCTCGTCCCAGCCCTGCCCCTCTCCCCGCCCTCCGGACCCGCAGAGGGGAGCGCACTGCTCCGCGGCTTCTCCCCACAGGGTCGTTGGGGGTGGGGGTAAGGAAGGCCAGGTAAGTGGGACTCTTGGACAGACCGCCTGCTGGAAAGGCGAGGTGTGCTTAGCCCCGAGTTCGGATGTAGGGTCTGCCCCCCGGAGCCCTTGGATTTCAGGCTAGAATCTCAGGAAAGGGGAAGTATTCTGGTATCCCATAGGGAAAGGAAGCAAGGTATCCAGGTTGCATCTCAGACTGTGCCAGGGTATGCCAAGTAAAGTTCGATGCCGGGAGAAGGGGAACAGCGTGGTCCGGGTTCTCTTCGGGGACGGAAAAGGGGTATTACGCGGAGGAGACGAAGTATTTTGGGGATCAGGGTCTCGCTGAGGAAGGACGATCGGGACTTTAGCTGATTCACTGAAAAAGCGTTGAGGTGTTTCAGGGTTCTCTTCGGGAAGGGGAGGAGAGTATTCCAGGGTCCTAAACAGGAAGCTGGGATGAGGAGTAATCTGAATTTTCGGGATCGATCCTCGGCTGGGAGGTAAACTCTGAGGTTCTGCCTCAGGATGAGAAAATGGATTTGTCAGGGTCTGCCTTGTAGTTTAAGCATATGGATGAGACTAGCCCGACATCCCACAGAGACCCTCGGTAGGAAAGACTCTCTGAAGGATAAATGTTCTATTAGTCTTAGTGTAAAGATATAAAGGGATCTTTGGTTCCCTTATAGTCCCTTGTCCCATTTCCCCACACATACATTTTCTGTTCATCCTGCTTCCACGTACGTGCATACATACCCCCAACCCTACCACTGTCCATTTTTGTTCCAAGCGGAGTGATCTTGCCTCTCTCCCTCTCCCCCCCCACCCCAGGATGGGACTGGGTCTCAGGATTCCTGGAATTCTTTCCCTAATTAAGTTTCTAAACCTCAGTTTCTCTTTGGTTGGACTGTGAAGCCCCAGGGCACCTCAGCTAGTCCACGTGGCCCCTACTGTTGGCTAACCACCACTGTTAGCCTAATTAATTACAGCTTACAAGGTGCTTTGAGATCCTCGAGGGAAGAAGGTTCAGAGAATGACTTGGGAGTAAGGAAACGGAGAAACAGTTTCATTTCTAGATCCCCAAAATACCAGCGGCCAATTTGAGGCATGTGACCTCCTTTGCGTTCTTTCCCAAGGCTGGGAGAAGGGGCAGGATGTCTAAACTCTACTTCTGTATACACTCTACTTCTAGATTAAGCCAGATCAAGCCAAATCCTTTTCCAGAAGACAGTTCTACCTTCCTAGGGTACAAGTATTATAGGAATTGGGCAGATAGACAGTATGGCCCAGTAGAAAGAGACTTATACTGAGAGCCAGGTGCCTGGGTTCTAGTTCTCCCTCTGCTTTTTCCTGGTTTTATAACGTTGGGTAAGTCCCTTATTTATTTTTAATAGTAAAGATGAGAGGCAGCCTGTCATAGTAAAATAGAAAACTGGCCTGAGAGTCTGAAAGACCTGGTTTCAAGTCCCAACTCAGACACTTACTGGCTATTTGACCTTGAGTAAGTCATTCAACTTCTGAGTACAATAGACAAGTCTCTAGGATGATTATTATTATGAGCAGATCTGCATTGGCAGAGGGACCTTCCTAAATAATTCCCTATACACAATCATTTCCTTTGATGTAGTTTCCCATACCTGTGAAATCACAGGTCCTGTCATGGTCATCATAATCATCATCATCATGGTAATGTCAACTACAGATTTTCTCACAGACTTAGTTTACTGAGGACTATACTAATGAAGAGAGGTATATCACAGTTGCAGAATCAAAAGCAACCTAAGGGCCCATCTAATCCACCCATACCTGGCTAAGGTATATTCCACAAGTGGTTGGTCATCAAGCCTCTCTGCCTGGAGACCTTCAGTGAAGGGCCACTTACTATCTGCCCAGCCAGCCATTCCACCTTTGGATAATGACTATTTGTTAGGAAGTTGTTCCCAACACCAAGCCTAACTTGGCCCATTTGCATTTTGCACCCCGTTATTGTCCATATCAGTAGGCTGGCCAATAAGCAATGAAGTCTTAGGTTATGGCAATTGATGAAACAAAATACCAAATAGTGTGCATTCCATCTGGTTCATCTCCCTTCTGATTCTGCCATGACAGTGGTTGGCCAGCAAGATGGCAGAAGGTACCAAGAATCAGAGTTTGTCAACATCTGTAAACAGGTTTTTTTTTTAGCTGTCGGTACTCTAGTGTGAGCTCTTGTCTAATGACCAGTGAGCTGATACTCTACCAGGGGAACTGAACCATGTCCGGAAAGGAGGTGAGCAGGTCATGTTTGGAGATTAGGGGATGACAAATGGACTGGCAGAATACTACACTAATAAAAGTCCTAGAGGAGCGCAGCCAGTAAGTACGTGGAGTGAATCCATTACTAAAGGTTTATGGCAGGACATGGAAAACAAGATGCACAGGATGAGAGGGTGTGGCTCAGTTTGACTCTGCAGTTGGGGAAAGGAGCTCCATTAATGCTTCCGGCCTTCCATGGATCTCTGGTCTCAATGAAATATGATGTAATAACAAATTTGAATTGCTGTTGTACTTTCCTCACAGATCTTCTGCAGGGATTATTATCCCCATTTCTGAGAAGAGAAAAGCAAAACCTAAACAGAAGTGACTTGCCCTGGGTTGCTCAGCTAGTCCCAGGCTTCTTAGCCTCCATCCTGTGTTCTTTCTTCTGCACCACACCATCCCTGTATAGTCTGCTTGATGCTCTCCCCCAAATCTTTTGGCCACAAAAGGCTTGGGCAAGTAAGGATGGGGTTGGACACCTGCCTGACCACCTCCAACTTTCTCTGCCTCCTCCAACGAGTTTGATAAGTTATCAAACAGCCATCAGCCTTTCTGAAGCACCTGTACACGATATCTGGTTAATGTCTATCACTCCCTGGGCCCCCTTCAGGAGGGGAGATATTTTTCTGCCTCTTTTTAATTTTTTATTGATGCTTTTTCTTAATGTCACTAACACTTTGAAATGACCAACACAGAACCCTTCCCTTGTGACAAATAAATACACTCAAGCAAACCAGATCCCTACATTGTCCCTGTCTGGAAATATACACCTACGTCTACAACTGTTGCCCAACCACCTTTCTTCCTAGAAGAAGATGGAGGCATATTTCACCATCAAGTCCTCTGGAGTTATGATTGACCACTTTAATCAGAATTTAAAAGTCTTTTTTGAAAATAAATGTTTATTGGTATCGTTTGCTTTTACATCATCTGTATTTCCCAGTCTACTCCGGCCTTTTTCTCTCTTCCAGAGAATAATCATTTCTAACAAAGAATTTAAAAGTCTGGTGGGGGGAGCAGAGGATAGATAACAATTCATCAAAACTAACCAAGCCTGGAAAAAGTCAAAATATAGACAGCATTCCACACACACAATCCTGCACTTCTGCAAAGGAGAGTGACAGAACTCTTCTTTAAGGACAAGGAATTGTACATTCAATTTCAATTGTTTTGTTTTCATAATTGTCCCTTCCATTTACATTACTGTAGTCATGCATGCTGTTTTCCTGGTTCTACTTACTTCCTTTTGCATCAGTTCATATACGTCTTCCTGGGCATCTCTGTATTTGTGACATTCATCATTTCTTATGGCTCAGTAATATTCCATTAGCCCAGGTACAACAATGTGTTTAACTATTCCCAGCTCAATGGGCATCTTTGAGGCCTTAACATTTTGACATCCTTTACATTGTTGTGGACATTGTATAAATTGTTCTAGGTGGAGATATTCTTAGCCTCATTGCACATATGGAATACAAATACAGAGACCTGTATTTATTCAGTGTGAAATGGAGTTACTCAGCTTGACTCCAGTAAGGACCAAATGAAAGGGTTTTGGACTGACTAGGTGTTTATTCCTTACTGACTTAACTGTGTATGTCTTTAACACCTTTCCTTCCTCTCGCCCCCCCACCCCCATAGAATGTAAGGTCCTTGAGGGGAGGGATTATTGGTGAGCCCTGTGGGATCTTTGTTGTCCCAGCAATTAGCAGAGTGCCTCCAACACATGACTATAAGGACTAGATCTATACCTTCCTTGGCATGTGGAATCTCAGGTGAGGGAACTCAATCTACCAAAGCAAGTTGGCATCTTCTCTGTAATTTACAGAATTAGAGCATTCTCTAGAACACTGAATGGTTCAGTGACTTGCCCAAGGTCATACAACTTGTCAGGGGTAAGATGTGAACCCTACTCTCCCTGGCTTGTAGGTCAGTTCTTTGGCCACGCTGCCTCTGTTTAATAAATGGTTTTTTGACAAATAGAGCACCTGTTATTTTCCTTATATTGGGTTTGCATGAGGCATTCCTCACCACAGCTTCAGGAAACCCTTTGTCTAAGGCACAGCTGTGTTTCCTTCCCCATCCCCCATTGGGGGGACTCCCTGAAGGCAGAGCCATATTTTTTCATTGCAGCAGGAGCCAGCGCCCTCCCCCCCTGCCCCAGACAGGGCTTTCCCCAAAAACTGGGGTGGAAGATTTCTTTGGGAGCATGCCCTTGTCTCCCTTCACATTGGGGCTCCCCAAGGACAAGGCTGTGTCTCCCCCTCAGACCAGAGGCTTCCAGTGGGTTCATTCCTGTGAGCTCACTGACTTTGCCTGTCCCCTCCAGTCAGGAGCTAGGAGAGGCTAGTTGGCAGCCTTGGCA